ATCTTCCTGTTCCTGCCAACATTACCACTCATTCGACGCATAGCGCGGCCACATCTGCGGCCTGGTCTACCCAGGCTTCTGTTGAGGAGATTTGTAGGGCAGCCAGCTGGTCTTCCCCCCTCTTCGTTTATAAGGCACTACAAGCTTGATAAGTTTGCCGCGACAGATGCATCCTTTGGCAGAAGGGTCTTGCAGCAGGTAGTTTCTACACACGGATCACAAGCCTAGACTTTCCCTCCTGGCAGGGACATGGGTGGTTTTGGTATGTCCCACCTGTGGATGCTACATCTATCATGCTGGAGAAGGGGCGTTGTCTTGCCTGAAGCCTTTTCTCAGCATGAAGATGTAGCATCCACATCCACCCTTAACAGTCAGTCTAGGCAGCTTTTCTTACAGGAGGAGCTATTGTGTCAGACCTCATGAATGCTTCACCTCGTCAAAACTGGGGAAAGGACAGCCCAAGGGAGGTGTGGCTAAAGTTTGGTCTTAGTCTCAACTGAGCAGGAAGGCTGAGATTACCCACTGGTGGATGTTACATCTTCATGCTGAGAAAAGGCGTTCAGGCAAGACAACGCCCCATTCCCAAAAATTCAGCGAAATGTTTGAAAAAAAAACGCCTCATGATATGCTGATTAGCAAGACACTGAACTGTGGACTGGATGGAATGAGTGGAAAAATAACTGGCTCTGAAACAGTACTCAAAAAGTGCTTCTCAAAGGTCATCACCAAGAGATACTAATTAGTGTACTGCAAGGAACAGTTCCTGGTGCTCTGTTGTTAAATATTTTTATTAGGAGGCAGAGAAAATAATTTTCAGACTTGCAAAAGATCTAATTTGAGAGGGATAGCCAATATCCTAAACAAATTTCAAAATGATCTTGATTATTTTGCAAGTAACAATGAAATTTAAGATGTAGGTGCAAAATTTGCTTAAGGATGCAAAAAAAAAAATCAAATTCTTAGCTATAAGAAGGGGAAACCTGACTTGATAATTGTATCTGTAAAAGCTTATTTAAAACCAGAATTGTGATTGGCTCCAAGGAAATAAAGTTGTTGCTGTTATCGTTATTATTTATTAAATTTTGAGGCCACCTGATTTTAGAACAAGACTGGGCAGCTTATATTAAAAACAGAAATTAAGAATCAATAATCATATACCAGTCTATATACCATAAAACATGGTCCATAGTGGCTTCATAGCCAACCTGTCCGAAGGCCTGGGAGAAGAGCTACATTTTAAAGACTTCTGGAACATCATCAGAGTGAGAGCCACCTGAACCTGGTAGTTTTAGGCTGTATCATGGAAACTGTAATTTCTATAGGAAATAATTATTCTATTATGAGGGTGAAGGTTCATTTTCCGAGCTTGTGGATTGGTTTCTGAAAGTTTCGTAACCATGCTAGGTAACATCTTCAGTGGAGTTACCTAACCTGGTAACGAAACGTTCGGAAACCAACCCAGAAGTTCAGAGAACAAACCTTTACCATCGTTCTACAGATATTCGCCACTATTGCAAATTATTCTATTATGCTAGGTTTTTGTTAGACCCCAAATATTGTATCTTGTTCTGTATACAGTATGAAATGTTAAAAAAGATTCAGAAAACTTGAAACAAGTTCACAAAAGGGCAATAAATATTATCAAGGGACTTGAAATTAAGTGTAAAATGCGATTGAACGAGCTGAGTATGTTTAGCCTTCAAAAAGACAGATAATTTGGAGGATAAGATCATCATCAAATAGCTGAAAGGATGTCACAGAGTAAGGTTTTGTTTTAATTCAATAATGCAGGACACACAGAATTTAAGTTGGAGTAAGACAGATTCTGACTGAATGTTAGGAAAAGTTTTGCAGCAGTAATAATTTGATACTAGCAATTCAGATGAGTGATTTAACTCCTTACATTAAAACCTCTGTCTTTAATTTATAATGAGATGTTTTAATTTGAATTCTTGTACCAAGCAAGGGTTTGTTGTTGGCCTAAATGGCTCCTTCCAATACTAGAATTCTATGATTCTAATGAATGAAGGAAAATATACATGTCCCAGAATAATGTTGCAGGATCCAATCTGGGTCGGTCACCGTATCCAGAGGTTTAGTCACTTTTGGACTCACACTGAAGCCCATCCTCAGAAAACCTCTCTTTGCTTTGGGCTATTTTATGTGTTGTATTTATGTGGTGCCTGATTGTGTGTGACTTCTTAGTTGTTGACTGGGTGTTGAAGGCTGACTATTAAATCATTGGCTATTGTTTCCTTGTGTTGCCAAGTCCTTGGCTCCTAATACCGGATAAGCTGGTGGTAAATCTTTGATTCTAAATTTAAACATCTTTGGGCAGTACTTTTGTGTAAATTTAAATATTAAAAGAAGTAACCACAGAATTTCAGTGGTGTTCTTGAATTATATAACAATTATCTAGAGTTTGGGCTAAATGATAAAGTGACCATGTTAATAATAATTTTTATTTTATAGTCACAGACCAAAATGCAAGTGCAACAAAAGAAAACACAAGAAAAATACAATCACAAACAGTTAATACCAGAAGCCTTGGCTAAAGGGAATTACAACATTCTCCTCTAATAGTTACAGCTCTTAAAAGAAATTTAGAAACTTGAGAAGTAATATAGGAGGAGTCATCCCCTAGACCAGGGGTAGGCAACCCAAAACACTCAAAGAGCCACTTGGACCCGTTTCCCATCGAAAACAAAACACTGGGAGCCACAAAACCCTTTTGATATCTAAAATGAAGATAACACTGCATATATCCTTTTTTACCTATGTGTGTGTGTGTGTGTGTGTGTGTGTGTGTGTGTGTGTGTATGTTTAGCTAGCAATAAATGCAAGAGCACCAGGAAATTATAAAACTACAAAAAGTTTTAATAAATTTAAAACACCAAGCTTTCGCCGGCAACTGCCGGCATCGTCAGGGTGGTGTTCATGCATTTATTGCTAGCTAAACATGAGTTTACCCAGGAATCACCTTTTTATTTTTAATATTCTTAAGAATATATGTATATGTATATATGTAGGTCTTTGGTTATTCGGGTTTTCTCCCACGTAAAATTGGAAGTGTCTTGGCGACGTTTTGACGAAGTCCCATTTGTCATCTTCAGGCTGGTGTTTTCAGCTTCGTGCTTCGAGGAGCACGAAGCTGAAAACACCAGCCTGAAGATGACGAATGGGACTTCGTCGAAACGTCGCCAAGACACTTTCAATTTTACGTGGGAGAAAACCCGAATAACCAAAGACCTACATACAAACACCCGCGAAAACCTCAGAAAACATATATAGATAGATAGATAGATATAGATATAGATATATATAGGTCTTTGGTTGTTGGGGTTTTCTCCCGCGTAAAATTGGAAGTGTCTTGGCAACACTTCCAATTTTACGCGGGAGAAAACCTGAACAACCAAAGACCTACATACAAACACCCGCGGAAACCTCAGAAAACAACACACACACACACACACACACACACACACACACACACATCATAAAGGTAAAAAAGGGTATATGCAGTGTTATTTTCATTTTAGATGTCAAAAGGGTCTCTGTCTCTCCCCCCTCTCCCTCCCTCTCTTTCTGTCTCTTTCCTCTCCCTCTCTCTTTCTCTCTCTCTTTTTCCTCTCTCTCTTTCTCTTTCTGCCCTTGGTCTGCCAGTCCTCTTCCCCCACTCTCTTTCTTTCTCTCTCTCTTTCCTCTCTCTCTCTCTCTTTCCCTCCCTCCCTCTCTCTTTCTCCCCTCCTCTCTTTCTCTTCTCCCCCTCTCCCTCTCTCCAGTCTTCTGCTCACCTGGCAAGCTGGCTTCAAGCTGTTCTCCAACAAGCTCAGGGGTAGGCAACCCTGGCTCTTTTATGACTCATGGACTTCAACTCCCAGAATTCCTGAGCCAGCATATCTGGGCTAGCTAGCTATCTCCTGCCCTTCCTGCTTCCTGCTTCCTGCAGAGACTCAGCAAAGGGAGGAGCTCCACCCAGTAAGCTTTTCAGTTCTTGGAGAACACTGTGAGCCCACTCTCTTTTTTTTACACACACAGACACACAAACACACACACACACAGAGAGAGAGAGAGAGAGAGAGAGAGAGAGAGAGAGAGAGAGAGAGAGAGAGAGAGGGGAAGTGCAAGTGCCTGTCTCTGGAAATGGCAGAAGAGGCTGGGAGCCGCAGGGGAAGGCTCAAAGAGTCACATGCGGCTCCGGAGCCGCAGGTTGCTGACTGTGCCTTAGACAATATAAGACCAAATTACTAACATTAACAAAGTGACCATGTTTTTTTGATGTTCAAGATAGTAAAACTAGAAGCAGATTGTGAAAAGCTCCAAAAAGATAGCTTCTGACTGGGTAAATGTGTTTCAGAATGGCAAATAGAGTTTAATATGAGCAAGTGTAAAACAACGTATGTTGGCATGAAATAGGCAAGCTTTAAGTATACATTAATGGGATTTGAATTTATTTTCTGCCTCTTATTTTATATAGCTCGGCATAACATATATAATGCTCCCTCCTTCTGTTTCTCCACAATAATCCTATGAAGTAGGCTCGTTGACATAGAATAACTATTCCAAAGATACCCAGCATGCATGGGTATGGGCAACATTATAATTTTTCTGGAATTCTGCCCTTATAAATGAGCACATGCATATCATCTGATTTCAGCTTCAATGTATTATCCATTATGCAATTTAATATTTATTTATTCAAAGGAGATGGACCATTTCCTGAAAATGTTACAAAAATATATTTTGGTGTTATCAGCACAGTTGATAGCATTGACCACCTCATCTCTCCTAGAGTTCTGATAATGGTAGCCAATATGTATCTTTTAAAACAGGAATTAGACAAGTTTTTCAGGCTATCCATACTTATAAATCATAACATCACTAAAAGCAACACAAGGAAACTGGATCATGTTACAGTATTTATTGTTTTGTCTTCTCTTTCATTTCTAAACTGTAATCAATATAAATATGTGAACATCAAAATTTCTGTACTCTTACAGCTTGGCTGAAGAAGAAATAAAAGCAGAGCAGGACGTAGTGGAAGGGATGGATATCTCCACTCGATCCAAAGGTGTGTGAAAACATATTTTAATTATACATTTCTACCTGGTTCTAAGGATAAAAACAGTTTTGTCCCTGTTTCTTACAACCATTCAGCTAATAATTCTTTTATTCCTTGAGGCTTTTGATGCCAATAAAAAAACTGAGTACTGCTTAATAACATCTATATATTTAGATTAGTTTTTCCTTTGCTCTTGTAAATAATTCAATCTGAATATGTGATGAACTTATTTTGTATATTATTTTACTGAAAGTTAAGGCAAATTTGAAAAGCCATGGTGGCACAGTGATTAGAATACAGTATTGGAGTTAATACTACAATAGCCACAAGTTTGATCCTGACCGGCTCAAGGTTGACTCAAATCCATTCTTCTGAGGTCAGTAAAATGAGGACCTAGATTGTTGGAGGCAATATGCTGACATTTGTAAAGTGCGGTAAAGCATTATGCAGCAATAGATAAGTCTAAGTGCAATTGCTATTGCTGTATTTTTAAAAGCTTTATTTTGCCTTTCCTTATACAGGTAGTCCTTGACTTACAAAGAATTCATTTAATGACTGTTCAAAGTTAGAACGGCATTGAAAAAATTGACTTATGACCATTTTTTACAGTTACAACCTTTGCAGCATCCCCATGATCAGGTGATTGAAATTCAGATGCTTGACAACTGGTTCATATTTATGACCGTTGCTGTGTCCCATGGTCATGTGATCACCATTTGTGATCTTCTAACAAGCAAAGTCAGTAGGGAAGCCAAATTTATTTAACAACCGGGTTACTAACTTATCAACTGCAATGATTCTCTTAACAATTGAGGCAGGGCAAAACTTACTTAACACACTTAGCTACAGAAATCTTGGGCTCAATTGTGGTTGTAAGTTGAGAACTATCTGTACTAATTTCCTGAAACGCACTATTACTTAAGGCACATTTGACTAGATACATACCATTAACTATGGTTCACAAACATACCAATTCACAATATTTTATATATTATTTCTCATTGTACATCTTTGCTTTTGGTCAGGTCATATTTTGCTATGACAATTCTCTTGTTATAGTTCTTTTTCCCCCGTCTTACCTTAACCTCTGTAAACCTACTGCCTTCTTGTGTTTTGTATTATAACTCCCATTATGCTTACTAAGAATGTTGGAGATTGTAGTCTAATACATCTGGAGATCACCAGAAATGTATTGCCAAAATCATGTATTTCTCCAGCATGAGGATGGAGAATCCACGAATGGTTTAGACTGTCTTCCTGCCCAATTAGACTAAGTCTGACAAACTTGCCACGCCTCCTGCTGAGCTTGACTACCACCCAGTCACGACTTAGTCTCAAGCCCAGCAGAACACGATTGTGGTTGGCTTCTTTGTCAAACTTATTTGAACAGGTTGTATATCTCCCATTTGTGGATTCTCCCTGTTCTATCGAGCGCTGTGACCAATGCTGCCACAAACTGCCCAGCGGTTTTTCCCTCACTCCCCTTAGTAACTTTTTGCTAAACAGGGATTCTAGTTGAAAGAAAGCTTTCCCAGGCAGTTTTCACCTTCCCCCTTCGGTCGTAGCTCAACAGAGCGTGCTGCCTGGCTTTCGGTCCCAGCTGAGCGTCAGGTTCAGAGAAGCGCGCTGATGACCATCCACTGCCCAGCTGATCGTCAGGCCCAGCAGAGCGTGCTGACAGCCGTCCACTGTCCGGACAAGCATGGGGCCCAAAGCCTCAGTCAGAAGGCCCTTTTTTGCCGTTCTTTCTTTGGTGCGCTCGTCATGGCTGCCATTTTGTGAGCTGTGCGAGGAGCCATTTTTCCTACTGTCATAGCTACAGTCAGCTCCCGGCCCTAATTTGCTTTGTCTCGGCCGGAGAAGCATTTTCACAGTCAGGAGCTGTTTGATTCCAGTATTTAACTCCGTCCCTTGGCTTCAGACATGTCGTCCGGCACTCAATCTCCCAGGGTCTCAGAGCTCTTCCAAAACGCCCTCATTTTTCGGGCACCATTTTAGGTGTCTCATACATTGAGCTGACCTTGTGGGGGGGAGAGAGAGAAACGGACAGGATCACTTACCCTTCTTCAATCAGTATTCTAATTGCCTATACCTGCACATAAGATCATTAGGAATTGAGCCTGAAGCCTGTCTCCCCCCCCCTTTTGGCCTCAGCCCCAGTCAAGCCAGGCCTCAACAGCGTTTCTCACTAATTATTTCAACATCGGTGTGTGCTGGCCCGCCTTTGGCACTGCCGCCACTACCTAGGCCAGTGTGCAGGCACTTGTCACTGAGATGATTTGCCGCCACTAAACGAGTTATGCGTGTGCTGGCACTCAACAACTGTTGGTTTGCCACCATCGTACGTCTGACTAATACGCTATAAGAGCGTTATCAGGCTTTGTCAGCCATCAGGAGTATTACAGGTATGTGAGAGCCCATTAGGTTGGGCCAGCTACCACCGTTCCCTAGAGCAGTCACTGGTTTCCAGCACTTTGAGGCACAGTCACAATCCAGTGCTCTGCTCCCAAGCCTTGAGATACCTCTCAGAACTCCACTGAGACATCTCCATTGTGATGGCAGACAACGTGGTACCTCAGAATGTGCAAGAAGCGCACAAGAAGCGCAAGTCCTCCAAACTGGAGGCTGCAGGAAAGCTTAAGGCCAAGGCCAAAGCTATTTCGGGCAAGAAGCCCTCTAAGGCGGCTGAGAAGGAGGCCAGCAGGAGACACCTAGCCTTAGAGAAGCAGTTTTCCAAGATTCAACAGTTGAACACAAGTGGAACGGTCCAAGCTTTCCTGGTTCCACACGAGAGTTCGCTCTTTAACTCGAAATTTGCCCCATCCAGCTCTCTGATTCAACGGGCCTGGTCTCTGGAAGGGGAAGCCGGGCAAGGGGACATTCTACCCATCAACCAGGGACCAGCCCCCCAATGGGTGGCTCCTTCGCCCAGGGTCCAGTCGGGACCAGAGGCCACATTCACACGCACAGCGGCCAAACTTCATCCCACTGAACCTTAAGGGGCATGGCCAGAACAGCTTCAGGCGTTACTCGTTCTGGCATTTGCCCAGGACATGGCCTCCTCCTTCCACCAGAGGCCCAGGCCAGAATTCGTGGCACCCATGACACCATCTCACTTCTGGGCGGAAGCTCCAAAATATCCTTGCTCTGTCTCTTCTGACCACTCCTCTTAGGACAGAGATTCAGGTTCCGAGGAGTACAGGTCAAGGGGCATTCAATTGTCTGAAGATGAGGAGTCGTCTCTGGACCTCTCCCCCTTTGTTGGTCTATTTGACCGAGGGTTGTAAAAGTCACTGCTACTGAAAGCAACTACCTCGGCCAAGATTTGTCCTGATCAGGAGCCTCAACCGGTTCCTTCAACCAGCCAGGACTCAAAGCTGCTATTCTCCGAGCCTACAATTACGGAAGGGCATATCACTTTTCCCCCCTTCTTTCTGAACACCATTCAGAAGCAATGGGGAACTCCTGGCACACACCCCGCACCGGGGGGGACGGACAAGAGGCTATTCAATGTTACCCCTGCCTTGTCAGAACTTCTGGAGGTCCCGAATGTGGATGAGTCCCTAACACCACTCTCTTCTTCCTCCACGATGTCAGGGGACATGGCTGAGACCTTAAGGGCGGAGGACAGAAAATCAGAGTTTTTCCTATGCAGGTTTCACCAAGCCTCGGCATGGTTGGTAAAGGCATCGACATCCACCTCCTTCTTTGCCAGGGCTTCCATTATATGGATTCGAGAGCTCCAGGCCATGATTCCCCCGGAGCAGGTTCATGCTCACCAGAATCTGGGTAAGTTGGTGGCGACATCTGAATACATGGCAGACACGTTACTACACACCGCCAGATTTTCATCCTGAGCCATAGCCTCTAATGTCACAGCCCTCAGGCTCCTATGGATCAAGCAATGGCGAGCAGACTTAAAGTCAAAGTGGTGCCTGGCAACCGCCCCCTACCATGGTGGACAACTATTCGGAGAGGTGCTCAACCCTTACCTGGTGGAGAACAGGGACAAGCGTAAAGTGTTGGCCCACCTTACCAGAAGGGCGGACAGACGGTCCAACCCATACTCCTATAGACAGCCCTTTTGATCAGGATCGGAGTAGGCTCAGCCTCCCCGCTCCTTTACCCCTAGGCCTGACCAATCAGAGCGTGTCGCTCCCAAGCCTCGACGGCAATTCCAGGCCAAGCAGCCCTTTCGGGGCATGGGAGGCTGTCCTTTCCGAAGCAACAAGTGACTTCAGGACGGCCCTCCCCATTGATGTCAGACTCACTTTCTTCATTCATGAATGGGAGGCTACCACAAAAGGCGCCTGGGTGCTCAACACCATCAGGCGCGGCCTTCCCCTCGAGTTTTTGTCCCGCCCAATGGAACCTTTTGTTTCTTGCCCAACTCCCAGAAATCTGGCCAAAATACGACTCATGAGCGAGGCCATTCGTCATGTGTTAGAAATCAAGGCCATAGAACCAGTATTGACTGGACAAATACATCAAGGTTTCTACTCCATCCTCTTCGTTGTTCCAAAGGCTTCGGGAGGATGGAGAGCAATATTCGATCTGAAGGGACTAAACTCTCATCTTGTCTACAAAAAATTCAAGATGCAGACGCTTCAGTCCATTCTGGCCGACATCAGAAGGGACGATTTCTTGACGTCTATCGACCTCATGGAAGCTTACCTTCATGTCCCCATCCTTCCTGACCATCGGAGGTTCCTCAGGTTCTGTTATGGGAACCATCATTATCAGTACAGGGCTCTACCATTCGGCCTTTCGGCTGCTACAAGAGTATTCACCAAGATCTTGGCAGCACTGGCCGCTCACCTGAGACTGGTCCCTGTACGGATCCAATGTTACTTGGACGACATCCTCATCCATCCACCTCCTTGCAGATGGCTTAGTCGAAACCTGGCCTTGTCCATCAGGACCCTTCAAGACCACGGTTTCTCGGTGAAATTTCAAAAGAGCCAGACAGTTCCCTCAACCCGCCTCCTTCACTTAGGCGCGATCATAGA